AAGGGTAGAAACTGCCAGAATATGATTGTTACAATTATTATTTTTTTAGCCAATTGTGTGTAGATTTCTTGTATTTCTTGATTTGCACTCGCTTCCTGTTTAAGCCGTGCACATACAGATGCAGAAAGCTGCAGGAGGCGATGCATATCACCGTCCCTCCTGGTGAGCAGCAGAGTTCGACGTGTTCCTGCCAGTTGCCGGCCTGCTGGACTCTGGCCTCCCAGGAAACTCTGGCCTGATCTACTTAGTGCCCTTGGCAACGACTTGAGCATAGTACAGTAATGTGCTTTTCTGGCTGTGACACTGTGACACGGCTTTTCCATATCAGGCCAGACAGAAGTCCGCACAGACTCGACTGGCTGTGTCTTTGGTGAGCGAAGTCTCTCCGGACGGCAGCTGAGCTCCTCTTCCTCACTGCCACTTAAAGAGGCCATCTGTAAGACTTCGCCGAGCTGGGGGAGGACCCGCCAGGCTCCTGATTAAAGTGATGAGCTGTAAAATTGAGAGGGAGTGGGGGGGCGACAGCTGGCTGCTGCCTGCTACACTGAGCTTCATCTCGTCTGCTGGGAGACAAACCTTCCCGCTCTACCTGTTCCCCCTGTCACCGTAAATGGGTTTGTTTATGTCTACAAGCCTGTTGTACAGTACGGACTGTCAGGATGCACCGCTTTAGCTCCGCTCCCATCATGCTATCGATCCATCATTATTTGTGGACCGTCGGGGTGCGACGTTTGCGCGGTTTGAGCAATTTTTGTAATTTTGGTTCTCATTGGCCAATTACGTTTTAAGTGCGGCAGAATTTGGGAACAAACGCTGACAGACTTTGGGTAAACTGCGTGTCCGTGTGTGTGTGTGTGTGTCAAATATAACGACGTAAAGTTTGTGACAAGCCCTCTGCAGCAGCATCTGTTGGCGTTTTGTGTCTCTGGCTGGAATCGTAGAAATCTACACGCACACAGGCGGCCATTAATCCAAATTATGTGGAAAATAAATTCTGGGTATATATTGACAGGTTTGAAAAATTCAGCTGCAATTTGGGCAATTCAAACTACTGTTTCCAAAATTGTCAGCGAGAAACAAATGTGTGCAGAAAGTATAAGACAGAATTCAATAACAAATCCAGTCATGGGAGACGTTAAGTGTGGACTCTGTATGTGCATAAGTGAAGGTTTAATGTGATAATATGATGAGCGAGACTGGATTTGGTGACACCAGCCTACTCACTATGAAGAATCACAATTCAAGGAAGTCATAAAACCTTTTTTTCTGAGATGACTAAAATCTTCTTTTCCAGGAAACATGCTCTTGTCAGACCCGATTAGCTCAGACTATTACATTTGGTTAAAGGCAGCTTGTCTTGATTTTTTTAGAAATCTTTTTTTTCAGGTTTAAAAGAAACAATGATTGTCGCACTCATGCAATAAGAAAAATGGCTTATTTCGACAATCAGACCGCTCTTTGGGTACAAAAGGGGCAAAATAAAAACAATACTTTGTGTTGTCTGTGTATTTCAAATCATTGACCTATGAGAGCTCTGCACTGTTGGGAAAGTATAGAGTAAAATAGATTTTATATGTAGATAGGACATGGTTTTGTTTTTTGTGTTTGCTCTTACATAAACATCTCTTTCTTTCCGCTGATGTGTGCCATGTTTTGGACCATTGATCTGCTTTAAAATTCTGTTTTTATGCTTTTAATTTTCTTTCTTCCAACCCACACATTTTCTCTTTTGATTTAAATAGAACCATTTGATAGAGTTTTTAAAAAACAAACAAGCAAAGAGGCTTTCAAAGAACCACAACATTGGCCATTTCTTTTAAACAACCTATATTTTTCTTAAAAGTGCATAAGTCATATAATGATGTTTCTCTCAGATGCAAAGTCATGAGTGATGTGATGTATTATAATACCCCTTAACTCATCAAGAGGAGGTTGTAGTGGATTGGTGGAAGTGCCTGTTTGGCCATTGATTCTGGTGTTTTTCGACCCCTTTCCCTAATTTTACTACGTTGCTGATTGCTGGTTCCATCCTGGATCTGGCCCCATACCTCATTACCTGGATTTGCTAAGATCAGACGCAAAAAAGAGTCTCTTATCAAAGCTTCTTACGTCTCCTCCTCATTAATCATTAGCGAATACGTCAGCGGGCTGCTCATGTACGGCTGCCACCGACCTTTGCTTCTGCTGATTAGAAAGACCAACATCAGGTGTTGGATGATATCAGCTGTGGCTAATTAATGTTAATTCCATACCAGCCGTACTGAAGCTTTGTTGCTTAACATGCCAGCTGAACGGCTAACAACTGCAGATAAAGCACAGTTGTCATTTGCAGCCAAAGCAGGAATGAGAGGAGTCTGCTTTGGTTTGTTTTGCTGCCTGTTTGGAGCTGGACTCATCACTGCAATTTGTCGGTATCGACCGGAGCTGCGAACTTGACTGTATTAAGCACTCACATGCGGAGCTGCATTTTCTACGGGATTGAATTCATGTGGAAACAATGCTTGACCTTGAAATCCTTTTTCTTTTTACTTGTCAGTCAGTTGGAGGTAAAAAAAAAAAGACTTGAAATCTAAGGGTATCGTCACATCGTAAAAACAGGAGCAGTGTCTGCAGATTTGAAGGGGCGATCTAATGACTGTGGTCAGGCAGGCTGCGTGTCGGGGAGCCGTGGGGGCCGAGGGAAGTGGCTCTCCATCATTTCAGTTGTGACAGTGGGGAGGCTGGGTGTGAAGGCGGGCGGGCGGGCGGGCAGGCCGCTGTCACCCTGGGGAGATTTAAAAGCCCCGAGACAACCACAGGCTGCTCTGTGCTGGTCTGTCTGTCATGCATTGAGGGAGTTTGGAACAATGGAGGCCTTTCGTATGGATCTACCCTCGGCTCACATATTCACTGCTGCCTCCAGTTTGGAAGATTTTCTCACCTGTGCTGCGATACGAAGCTGATTCCTCACGTGTGGGCAAAACAGCGCAACCAAAACAGGCACCAAGATGTATGCAGCAGATCCTGTACGTTGTGAGTTGGAGCCACTGAAGGTCAGACTCGGCCTTGTTAAAGCCAGACGACTCAGTCATCTGATCATAATGACTTGGCCCTTGTCAAAGTCACACAAGTCTCAATACCTGCCCGTCTCTTCTGCATCCAACACGCTGACTTAGTGAACAGACTGTTGGTAAGACCTTGACGTGCCGCGTTGCTTTGGGATAATCAGTGTTATTTGCTTGGAACTACATTCATTATCAGATCCTACAGACAGCGAGGTCATGTGTGTCTGACGGAACCCAACACTCACTTCTCAGCTTTCGGGATGTTTGCTCTCTTCAGGTGTGATCCTGTGTGCAAAAATATTCTCGTTTTTATTATTCTCCACCTTGCCCGTGTTTTGATGGGATTCTGTTATGCTGGTGTGCACTCACAGCGGGTAGCGGCGGTCTGCAGCCATGCTCTGCAGCTCTGCAAGGCGTCACTCCGGGGACAGCGGTGTTGTGACATGTTGAATGTTGATTGGTCAGTGACCGTGACACGATCACGTATGTAGGGGAAAAGAAACAAGTGTCCGCAGGGCTCATTGTATGGACAGTGCTGGCTTTCTGTTCTGTGCCTGAGCTGGAATCAGAACACCATGTTAACCCTCTGAACCCGGGCCAGTTTCTGAATGTTTTTTTTTTTTTTTTCTCCTCACTGCAATGTCAAGTCTTGCAGCTCTGTGGAAGCAGTGCATCCATGGCGAGAATGAGAGAGAACTCAAAAATGTGTTGCGTGCATTATAACAAAGTTCATTTAGAAAGATAAGATGACACTTGAATTTCTCTGTTTAAAAACCTGGAATCAAATGTGCAGCTTTTTTCCAAGTGCCAATTCATGTTATCAATGCTGGAAAAAAAACAAATATGACTCTGTATAGTACACATATTTTACTTCTTAGATATTTTTTGTTTCCATGCTTGTGTCTTGCATGCTCTCTGTAAACACAGCCTGCAGTTCAGCTGAGTGTAGCCCAAAAAAATCTCTGAATTTTCATCATGTAAATGTTGGTCACAGTTCTGTCATTCATGGCTTTTCAGTTGCACCAAGAAGTGCAGAATTTTCTGTTTTTTACAGAATCAGGTCAGAGCAAATGATTTATTTTTAGCAAATTAAATATTGTAATTTAAGTTTCCAATGAAGCAGCGCTTTCCAGTTGAGTAGTTCGAGGACCATTGGAAAGTTGGAAATAGTACAATTTTAGCCATTTTTAAAAAAAATTGTGGGATTCAGGAGGTTAATTTCTGTCATAAATGGCTCTACATTGTATGTTCTTACTGTTTCTAAGTATGAAGAGGAACCTGCGGTGGGTGCAACTTTAGCAAAAATGGGACCCCTTAAATCCTACACACTGGTACCTAAAGTAAACTTCCCAAACAGAATATTTTGTTCAGTGGGAAGTCATTTCCACCCCTGCATAGGGAAATAAAGCCTAGCTTACTCTGGGAAATCCATGCACAACAGTAACAGTGATGGTGCGTTAATGACATTTCAGGCATGATAGCTAAACTGTTTGTAACCTAATTGTCTGACTGCTCATGTTTCTTGTCTTTGGGGTGCAAATTTCTCATAGGTTAACAAGCGGACAATTGAGATTTTTGCTTGGTTTTCTTATATTATTCTGTCTCATGAGGACTCAAAGTTCTCTATAGAGTACATAAATACACACATGCATGCAAACTTTACTGTCTAAGCATTGATTTACTAGGTTGGTGTATGAAGCCTTCTGGCATCAACAGATTACTTTCTTCAAGCGCAGACTGCCAGACACGAGTGCCAGAAGTGTTTGAGATATCTTTTCAAAGTGTAAAGGTGTTACTTTGTGTTTCGCCATGTGTGATTAGCTCACTTAATATGTTGCTCGTGTTTTTTTTTTTTTTTTTTGGCAAGTGCACTTGGAGGCAGTAGACAGCACACCGCCTGTGAAAAAGAGTTTACACAAGCTCATGATTTCTTTCCATTTTATTTTATTCCTTCAGATGTTGGGAGAGCAGTTCACGCCCCGGCACACATCACAGAAAAAGTGGTGCAGCTGTTCAGGAGTAAAAGCGAGTTTACCTTCTTGGCCTCCATCCAGCAGAAGTCCTCCACGTCGGGAGTCATATTCTCCATCCACGAGTCAGAACACAGGTAATCCATCTGTAATCCTCTTCATTTTGGCCCTGCGGCTCCTTTTCTGCACAACTTTTCTTCCGCGGATTACCGGGCGCACTCGATTTTTAAATTAAACCCCAGATAGGAATTCTCATCTTACTCTTAGCTGGTTGCAGATGGCTGCTGATGAAGTGTAGTAAAGTAAAGAGCAGCGTGCAATTACTCTACCGCCAGTTTAAGTCAGAGGGTAATGGGGAGGTTATGGAATAAAGCAGCGTTTCCACCTGTGTGCTCAGGGCAGAAAGGTAACCTTCAGTGTTTTGTGTCTGTAAAATGAGCATTAAGCACAAAACAAGACCAAGCTGGCTTTGCTGACCTCCGTAAGTAAAGGCCGCATAACAGCAAATGATAACTAGAACATATGGCTTTGTAAGTGAGCTGCCATGAACTACCAGCATCTTTTTTTTTCTCGCTTTGCTGAGTTAAGAAAAATAAGAAAATTGGTGTATTATTCTCGGCTCTTTCAAGGAGTCTTTTTGAATTTGTGGCAGCGGACTGCTGCAGAAACCGATGGCTGCGAGACATCGGTGAGTGGCAGCAGTGAACTCACCCTTGGCCCCCTGAGAATCTCCACAACTGTGAATTGTGTTTTAAAGGGCGGGCAACATTGATTTTTTTTTTCTCTCCTCTAAAGGTAAAAGCCTTCAGTTCTGTAAAACATGCAAAGTGAAGGAGGGTGTGTATGTGTTACGCTGAGAGTCGAGACAAAGCCAAAAAGTATGCAAAATGGGAGAGCGAAGTGGAGGGTCCTTCAGCTGGTGCAGAGTGCTGTGTAGGGGAAGCTGGTCTTCTGAAATGGCTGAAGGTTTTAAATTGTAGATGCACTTTCACAACAGCCATGTTATGCTAATAATAATCGAAGTGCTTGATGCGATATTTTTTGGTTTTCATGTTTTTATGATGGTTGAAACTAATGCTTTTTAGAATAATCACGTAATAACATCTTTTTTAAGTACACATAACCTGTAATGTCCTTTACATTAAACCACAGAAAGTTATGTTTAGTCATACTATTGCTCATTACATAGAATTGTGTCATAATGTTTGCAATGTGAGTGCTTTAATTTGAAGTGCCTTTAAATATTTTGCTGATGATGTGTGCTTTTATTTCACTGTTTTATTTTGTGGCTACACAATCTGAATATGCCTCTCCTCTGATGTGTATTCGCATGCCTGTGCACTCAAGCACCCAGTGAATGATCCACTCTCGAAGATAAAATGCGCCGCCCCCCCCCCCACTGTGCTTTTAAGGTGACCCCGAGAGTTGCTGCTCGCTTCCCCTTATCTCTCCGTCAGTTTCGTTTCTCTCTCACATTACCTGCAGGCATAATTGTCTCTCAGTGGGTTGGCCAAACAACAGCGCGGCGAGGCTAAATGGGGCCAGTTGACTGTACCGCCCTCCTCCTTCAGGCACAATGACATGCACCACGCCACATATGTAGCTCAGAGGAGTGCTTGGACTAAGCAAATGTTGTATTATCGGCACTCAGCCGCGCTCAAACACACCCAGTTGTCAGATACACCGATTCCTAAGCCGTCTTTAACGTTTATATTGTTCTGAAATAAGTGTTTGGGGTTGGGATGTTAATTTTTATAGAGGTTGTTACCCCGAATTACAGCAAAGCATATGTCCAGGTATTACCTCCAGTGGAATTTATCCATATAGGCACTGGTTTCATTTCACCAAGTTTCCTAATTCAGCAGCAAACTACATACATAATTTGCTTGCATTCAGATTTAAAACCTCACATGCTTTAAAAATATTCTTGGCTATTTTGTTATCTTCCGCTGCTATGATTAAAGTTGTGTTAAATGTAGGAAAAATCTACTTGGAAGAGCTGTGGTCATGGTTGGAAGAAACCAGAAATGTTTACTTTTGGTCGAGGCAGCGGGAGTTTTGCAGCTGTCTTTCATTTCATAGTCAGGTTTGTTCCATCCTGCAAAACCTCCCGTCCATGAGGGCTCGTGTGACCGTAACGATTTTTATTTACAGCTGAGCTTAATTTAAACCTCTGCGATGTGCTTTAGCCGTAGATTGCCTGATGTGCAGCTCCCCAGAAATGTAACTACACGTTTCAGAAATGGAGACTGCAGCTATAATTGGTCCACGAGATGTGACTGATCTGCTTGGTGGTGAAATGCTGTGTTTGCACAGGATATTGATTTGTGCAAAAAGTGGTGCTTCTATGAAACAAACTGCAGTACTGGGCCGATCAAGGCATTTCTTAGCTGATTGGTATTGGGAAAAACCTGAGCCCAGTCCTTTGTTTGCATCCTTTGTGAAAGGCTGTAGATTTAGACGAAGAATTGACCTCATGTGGACAGCAATACATATGAGGTGTTAATCACACATGGTACTGGGATGTAAAAATGATATCCTAAGTGATTGAATACATACACACTGGCTGGAGGTCATTAAGCCTTACAGACAGACTTTGTCATGGTGCTGCTTTACAAGCTAAACCCCCAAAATGGTCTCTGCTTGGCGACATGGAAGTGTTCCCTTTCTCCAATCACGACAGAAAAGCGTGATGCTCCATCTGGTGGTGCAACCAGGTACTACACCTACAATACCTAAAGTGCGTGTTATTCAAGACAATGGTATGAAGTATTGGCATATACTCAGTAGTCAATAACTTTGATTGGATTGGAGAAAAACAACAATCCTTGTTTGGGATATCTCTATGTAATAATGCAAACGCAACCGTCAGCATTCTGCCGGTGTAGCAATGTTTCATTGTTCTACCAAGCTATGTGTGGATGCTGATGTTTCCTGCGTCTCCTCTCCTCTCTATGTTGCATTCATTTCTTTAAAGCCACCTGTTTTTCCACCATTATTAGCTCCATCGTGACCTGCTCCATTTAAGTCACCATTAGGAAGTATACAAAGAAACTCAAGATAGTCACAGAAAAGTCACTGACTAGCGATTTGGGGGTGTGATTGCAAAGCAGAGGGGTGTAAATCCAGCTTTCAATGGTGTCCAGACTAATGAGAATACTGCTTTTGAAAATAAATTTGCTCGAAAGATTGCTTCAGATTGTGCAAAGATTGTTTCAGTGTGGATATCCCAAGATCTCAACACATGAAACTATCAGCATGGCCAAACACGAATAGAGTAAAGGAGAGCAAATTGCTTTCATTATTGTAATTTGGGGTGAAGTGACTCATTTAAACTTAATATTTTGAAAATAATTTCTTAACACTGTAAGTCTCCGGTTGCCTAATTGACTTTCAAGACCTGAGATTTTTCTTCTAATACTGTATGTCGTCAGGTACTAGATGACAGAGTTCAGATGCAAATGCGACCCAGCCGGGCTGTAAGCAGACTGGAGTTATTTTGAGACGAGCTGTTGTGTGAGTCAGACAGCCACACTGCGAGCGTAATTAAATTTGGTAAGATGGACAGAGCCTTGACTGGCTTGGTGCAGACCTGTGCTCCATTGTGACCGCGGATTTGTTCTGAACCTCTGAATCCTCTCTGAAGGCCCTATTAGAGCCCTCTGCCGATGCCCATTCTTTCCCATTATAACACAGGCCTCCCATTCAGCCGGCTCACAGACAGCTACTGTAGCTCCACCGCTTGGGCCAAATCCAATCATACATTCCTTCTCTTTCCCTTCTTTACTTCTTCATCTTTTTTTTTTTTTTTCTCGGCACAATCAAACCATCCTCTCTTCCCTCCCACCTACTCTGCCAACTTCACTTTCCAAATATGATAATATCCTCTCCTCCCTCCTCTCATCCTCCGCTCTCCTCGTCCTCAAAGTGAAAACGTCTTTTGAATGCAAGCATTTCTCGGTGCTCACAGCAAAAGCAGAAAAAGCGAGTTTTTTTTTTTTTCCTCTCCTCTTCTTATGCCCTGCACTGGGGAGTGAGGAGGAAGGTTTATTGCTGCTCCACTAGGCTGAATAGAACAAAAGGAGCCTATTTCTGCTTAGACAGCAGTTTTCTGGGTCCCAGTAAGGCTCTCATTGTCAGCAAGTGGCAGTGGCTCTGTGATGAACTAACTCAAAGCCTGGTCTCCCCACTGCTCTTCCCACCTGAGCACTCCAACACCAAAGACGCTCAGCTCGCTCCTCCAGCTGCTCTGTTCATCTGCCCGCCCTTTGTCACTCCACAGGTCTGCCTCTCTCACTCTCTCTCTCCAAGCCTCAGTTCATAAGCGCTTACAGCTTCTTCTCTTTTAGGAAACATGCCGAGGAGAGCGCCTTGTTAAACTGAGACTTTGTGGTAGAAGTTTGTGAACATTGGTTATATCAGGGTACATCAGATGCAGTAAACATCGGGCACGTCGCAGGATTAGTTTTGTATCAGGAGGTGGTTGAACATGCAAGCAAAATACTAATTCTCACCATATTTGAGCAGAAAATCTACGTGTTAACCAGCTCAGATTTACCTTAATGAATACTTAAATTCTCAGGTTACAGTGATATCTAGCCTGACTTGGACTGCGCTTCATTGCTCAGAGTGAGTTTAACCTCCTAAGACCTGGTGTCCATATGCGTAGACATCACATTTTGGGTTACATTACAACAGTAGATAATTTTATTAATTTAATTAATTTTTTTATTTAATTTTTAATTTTTAATTTTTAGTTTATTATTATTTTATTTTATTTTATTTTTTTTTAACATTTTTTATTACTATTTTATTATTATTATTTTATTGGTGTTATTTATTTTTTAATTTTTAAAATATTTTACTAACTATTTATATATACATTTTGTATTTTCCTTATATTTCTTAATTTTTATTTTTAATTTTTAAAAAATTGCATATCAAACAAGAGCTCAGGTCTTAAGAGGTTAAATGCACCTCTTCATTCTAGGAAACCTCCCTGCAAAAAATAAACTCAAGCATCTGCTTTAGTTTCCTTAGAATTAGCACTTAATTAATGCTGCAGTTGTAAAAGAACCAAATAGTTTATGATAGATCTGTAAAATGAGACTGCGCTGGACCACTCGCAGGTGATATT